TGGGCGAAAGCGTCCAGGTTGGAGTAGTGTATACAGGAGTGCAAATTTAGCTGAATATTCTCGGCCAGGGACTGTTCAATTCAGGAAGCCACGAATTCGGGTTAATCACTCTTTTCCGGTATGCTGTCATCGTACTCTTACTTCCGTCTCATTATCGATTACCCTTGACAAATTCCTCATATTCCTAGTGTTTATATCTTAAACTACTTCTCCAACATTCAACAATAGATCGACAATACTCTAAAAAAAATTAACACTTCCTTTGTGGTGTTGCCAAAATATTTACTAATTTCCCTTTTAAAATCTTCTGGCAACTTGACAACAGATGTTAGAAAGAAAAAAAAACCCTTTAAAAATATTTTCTTGTGATAAAATAAAATTTTTCCATTCAAAACAACACCACAAAATGGTTTCAAATTCTCCACGCACATCCGAGGGCTGACTTGAACTGGTCTGAGCAGTGTTTTTAATAAATACAGCAAGCTAAATATACATAATTCAAGCTTTTTTATAAGGCAAATGATTTTTTAGTCTGTAATTACTTGAATGTGGTTACCACGCGTAGCATAATAAGACTTAAAACTGAAGAATAAGAAGAAAAAGAAGTGGTTGAGGCTCTTTTGTGCTCTTAGTTCGTCACGTGGCTAGTGTACGAGCGCAATTTTCTCAGCCGAGTAACCCTTCAACCTCGCCTTCAAGTTCCTCACGCCAACGACGCAGCTCGTTATTACATGTGGGTGGATATCCCAAGAATACTCTTGCTTTTTTTTTAGCAGAGATTTTAATGACTATTTTTAAGTCATTACTTGAGTCCAATATCAACATTTAACTTTCAATTGTTTAATTAATGGATTGATGATAAGATTTTAATCATGGTAGAAAAGAGAACGTGAAAATCGTAGGCGTATCCTGCAAAATGCTGCTGGTGAATTGCACATGAAAGACAGAGTCTACAGCTGACTCATCCTCCAACCAAGGGAATCGAGTCCAGGCGTGCAGCAATAAAGAGAAAGAAAGAAAGATTAGTCTCACTTGTCTTCCTTCTCTTTTTTCTTTTCGTACATGAGATTATACAAGTCAGACGTCTGCTTGCAAAGTAGGTTGGTCTAATCGTATGCCTTTCACTCACTGCATCGATTCGGTCGATTACCTCAAAGTACTTGTGATTATTCAAGACAATGCCAAGTTCTTTGACTAAGTTTAAAAATTTCGATCTGCATTGAAGGTTAAAGAGACCAGGCTAAGATTAATGACTCAGATAATTGATCGTTAAGTTAAGTGATTTCATGAAAATGGAAAAATAATTGTTAGGTCGATGATCCTTGCCAGACAGCGTAGGCTTATCTATGTCTGTTTATGGTGAATTTTTATTCCTGATGCATCAAAGAGGAAGTTGGGAGTGCAAGTCAAGTATCATCTCGTGTCTGTTGTAATTATTCCAATCAATTATGATAAATGATTTATTTATATAAAATTGAGGAAGAGAATTGTTTACAATTGAGAAATTAGTTATAGAATATTTTTTTTTTGTAAGATAATTTATTCAGTGAATAATCTTTTTTTTTTTATTTTTCTTGATCTTATGTATTATTCATGAAGTCCAGCAGTGTTTGAAAAAAAAAAAAACTGTAAATGAAGTGTGATTCAGGTTATTTTTTGAAGACTTCGTTAAATATTCTTCTCAATTTATATCTTCAGAAGATGAAGAAGTGTACACATAACAGCAATCAAAACTTTGCTTCTCTTTTTCAAAAGATTCTATATTTGGATCTCCACTTTGTAGTTATTTATTACAGATGTTATTCATGATAAAAACATTCCTAAAACTATGATTCAACCTCTTTTAATCTGCTAGAATATGTTTTCAAGTTATCCAATTGATTACAAAATGAATTTTCAATCGATTTATGTAATTTATATTTCTCATTTACATCTTGACTACGACGAATTTTAATATGAATGAAATGAAGACAAATGTTACCTCAGGAAAATTAATTACAAATGTAGAAAAAAAAAAATAAAATAAAAGGAGTGTCTATGAGTAGTGAATAAAATTAATCCATCCAATGTGGCTTCGTTGTCTCAACAAACCTCACACCCTTATAATTTTTTCCCTTTCATTCTTTTTTTTTTCCCATGCAATTCAACCCTCAACTAACCAAGCACTTTTTTGGATTCATGATATGCTAGACACTGCGTCATCAAACAAATGAATTTCCTTCATTTCTTTGATTTTTTTTTTTTTTTGTATCCAGAATTTGCCAACACAGCAAGTCTAGACGCACTTTTAATCATGCGTAATACAATATCTAAATCCAATTTTCAGTGTAAAAAATTTTTTTTCCCTCTGAAACTCTAGACTATGGAGGAATAAATGATGTTGATATGATTAAAAGTATGGTGGAATAAATGTTCTACTTATGTTTACACTTGTAGACACATGTTGCATACAGGTTGACAAGATTAATTCATTGTTTATGCATCACATCAACATAGATCATGATAGAAGCTTATAAGAATGACCCAGATATATCTTATTAATAGCTCAGAAGAGAGCAATCAGATTGAATGAATGAATAACATGTTACTCTTCTTCAATTAAACAAAAAAAAAAATTAATAAATCTATCAAGAATAATATTTTAATTATACTACTTATCAATTATCAACATGTTAACTTTAATTATTAGCACTCATTATTTCTTGCTTTCACTTCTTTTTAGACCAGGAGTGTCAAAAAAAAATAGTAACATATCACAATTAACAGATAAATAAGATTTTTCTTGGTGTCCTAGTATTGATTTATGCTACAAATCAATAATAAACCTCGGAATTAAATTTTCCCTTTTATAAACAAGCTTATGAACTTGTCCTTCAAGTTAATTTTTCTTAATTTATCAAGTATATCATGTTTTATTTCTATTATACCACTAAGAGTTATTTTATTCAACATTCTTCAAACCAGACGGGCGCCATAAAGGCGATGGGGGAGGAAATAAAGTCGAGGGTTCTGGACTTTAGGGGTTGGAAATTGCCACAGCATGGTGGGGTAAAATAAAAGATAAAAGGTACCAAGTAGAAAAAAAAAATGTAAAGACAATATATCTATAGATGTATAATAATGATTTTACTACTCTGTATTTTGTGTGTTTGTATAGTAATGACACGTGCTAAACTCGAGTCTTCCTATTGATCCATTGCTGGTTGCCAGGTAGAAGTTTCCTTTTCACTACGAATTCCGGATACCAGTCCCATCGACACACTGACCTGTGCGAAAAATCCTCATTTTATGGTCTATTTGTCATCAATTACAAGCAATTATCTTTTTAATAGACCTTGGAAGGTGCCTTTTCTATCTAATAATCTCCAACGAAAATAAAGGAATCTTATTTCTAAATTGCTCTTCCCTTTATCTATTTATTCAGTAAACCACACAAAAGAATCAGTTTTAATCTAATAAACTTCTTAATAAATAATTAATTTAATCAAGGAAATATTGACTTAGATAAGAAAATGTAGCCCAAAAGATATCCTAGCAACGAAGCAGAACCTTTTATCGACCGGAATTAATATTTGTGATAGAAAAATGGAAATATTCAAGTAACTCTAATGATTAAAGCAGTTAGAAATGAAGGCGTGGCGTCTTTTTGTAGTATGATTTCCAAGTTTATTATTAGCTTGGAACTTAGGACGAATAAAATGCCCCATTTACTTGTGTATTTATCCGAGACGCCTGCACAAAACCTATCGCCTTGAGGAATAAAAGTCATCTCAAATGATTCAAAGCAATACTTTCTGTTTCACAAGGGTAGGGTTTTTTTTATCCATATAATAGTCTATTTCTTTATCTAATCGATTGATTAAAAAGAACATCAGAAAATAAAACATGAAAGGGATAGTCTCAGTTAACTATCACAAGACGATTAAATTGAATGAATTAATTGATCATCCTGATAAAATGTACTTTATAAACGATCAGTCACTGAGAGAGCCCATAAAGCTTTGAAACTCCGAGGTAAATTTACTAGGCTCAATTTAAATCAACAAATTATGTCTGACGTCATTTCTCGTTTTGCCACTTGTGATAAAGGTCATTCACGTCTTTGTACTTACTACGATTGTAACTGTATGTTGGTTGGAAAAGAGACACACGCGAATGAAGATGCATGTCGAGAGATTGTAAGAGAAATACTCAAAGAGATATTGCTCATGTTAATAGTGATAACCAGTCTCTGATACATAGTTTCCAGTTTAACAATGTAATAAGCACTAAACTGGGGAATGGTAAACTGATAAGATGATGAATTGATTATTTTTCCATGTTTAAGATTGTTGGAGAATCATTGATATACGATAAAACACTTGTTCGAGTGTGGTATTCCAAGATAAATAAAGAGATTGAATTTTTTCATTTTATTCATACTTCAGATGTTATGATAACTAATAGCTTTGGATATTGGACATTTTCCTGCTATGTTTAAAGTTTAAATGCTTCTTTTTTTCTAAAACCAATAAAAGTCGGTCGAATTGATTATCGTTTAACATAAGTTTGCCTGCTGCGACAATGCGCAAAGGAGAGCTGTGATGTAACAACTTATATGCTAGATGCCAAAGGCCTCCTTATCGGTTTGCTAGTTTGTTAGAAGCTCTTATAAGAACTCGTGCTATCGTTATTTGCTATCACAGAACGAAAATTAATGGATAATTTTGTCCTTGTCTTAAACAAAGTTTGAAAAAAAACATTCATGACTTTAAAATATATTTTTATTGTTGGTGTAAAAGTAATGAAAGAATGATACATGTCACATTTTTAGTTCATACGGTGAATCAAGCTTTTTTAGAAACTTTAGTAAATAATACAAAATTCATTTTGGAATATGAAAATGATGAGGTTCGAGAGGATAACAAAATTTAAATAGACTAGAGTATTATCCATGTAAAGCTAAAGATAAGCCCAAGACTTATAGATACTGATAAATGTTTCTTTTGCTTTGTCAACAGTCGCTGTTATCTGGGGGAGGCCCGAGGATGGCGGACACAAGTCAGCAGGAACTATCCGAGCCTCACACAAATGGTGTAGTGGATGGACTTACAGAAGAAGAGAAAAGCAAGATGAGACCAGCTGATATTGATGCTGTAAGTATTTCTCATTCCCAATAAAGTAGAGCAATTTGTCTGATGTAAATCTATAGAATGTATTTCATTCAATTTCCTTTTTTGCAGGACATGAGAGAAATGGAGAGAAGGAAGAGAGTAGAACTTATAATGAATTCGAAAATGTTTAAAGAAGAATTAGAACGTATTATTGAGACACAACTGAAGGACGGATCAGGTCCTTCTGGACTTTTACAACAAATATCGGATATGATGGGTGCTCAAGGCGCTCGTTTTAACTCTAATGTGTTCAAAAGTAAGTCTAAAATCATATCAGAAGGTTTTTACAACAAAAGAACGTTAATTTATTGATTACTTGTTATCTTTTAGACTCTAACTGCGTGGTGCCTATTAATGATATTCGAGGAGTTGAAGCAAAAGGTTACGAGAGGGGTGAAAAAGTACTTCGTTGCAAGCTGGCTGCTGTTTTTAGGCTCCTAGATTTGTATGGATGGACTCAAGGAGTTGGTGGTCAAATAACAGCTCGATTAAATCAAGACCAAGAGCATTTTCTTGTTAATCCTTATGGTTTACTCTATCACGAAGTTACTGCCTCGAGTTTGGTGAAGGTTGACATGCAAGGTCAAGTCGTAGAACAAGGCACAACAAACTTTGGTGTACATGTAGCTGGTTTTCAGCTTCATTCAACGATACATGCTGCCAGACCTGATATTAAATGTATCATTCACATTACGACACCGACTGTCACAGCTGTGTCTTCCTTAAAAGGTGGCCTGCTTCCTCTTGGTCAAGAGAGTGTTGTTATTGGTGAAGTATCGACCCATCAATATATTGGTGAAACAGTTGAACCTGAAGAGCGTGAAAAAATTACAAGAAATCTTGGCCCCATCAATAAAGTTATGCTTTTGACAAACCGTGGTGCTTTATGTTGCGGTGAAACTGTTGAAGAAGCATTCTACAATGTTTATAATACTGTCCTTGCTTGTGAAACACAGTTGAAACTCATGCCTGTAGGTTTGGATAATCTAAATCTTTTAACTGAGGAAGCAAGAAAGGCGATATTTGAAGCATCGAGAAAACCACCGGTTCCATTTTCTAGTGCAATCATAGAACCATCACCGTTGGCTGAGAAATTAGAAAAACGTTGGAGAATCGGTGGAACTGAATTTGAAGCTCTTATGAGAATGCTGGACAATGCTGTAAGGATATTTGATTATTTTAACACCTTTTTTTTTCATTATAATTATCTTTTCAAGATCTTTTAATATCTTTGTGCTTTTTTTTCTCAGGGTTTCCGTACTGGATACATTTATAGACATCCATTGATTAAGAGTGAACCTCCAAGACCTAGAAATGATGTCGAAGTACCTCCTGCAGTATCATCTCTTGGATATTTGTTGGAAGAAGAAGAACTTTATAAACAAGGGTAATTTTTACTTTTATCTATTAATCAATAAGAATTAATAATTATACAGTATCAAATAATATTAATAATGAATTTTTTTTATTCCTTTAGATTATGGAAAGGTGGTCGTAAAGGAGCAGATAGATCACGTTGGTTGAATTCTCCTAATGTTTATCAAAAGGTGGAAATTCTCGAGACCGGCACACCGGATCCCAAGAAGATCACCAAGGTAGAAGTCATTACTTTTGAAAATAAAACTGAGTAATTCGCTATTTAAAGATTTAAGTTAAACATTCCACATTGAAAGAATTAGTCAACATGATATAAAATTATACAGTGATCAATAGGTTATCAATATTTTTAAGATTAAACAAAACTGCGATACAATTTTTATTCTCAGTTTCTATGATTCAGAGATTAACGTCAAAATTTCATTGAAAAAAAATTCACTATAGCAGCTAGTCAATTCTACTCTAATTTTATCAAACAATTAGAAAGTACTACAAGTTAAAAAAAAGTTACCTAGATTTACCTCAAATCAATAGTATGAAAAAGTATAATATTTAATCATGGTTCTGTCATACATTGAATTTAAAGAGTTTAATTACTCGAGTGTTGTTTAGATTGAAAAAAAAAACCAAGTACGTAAATCAAATGAATTATCAGTCTATCTATATATTCCCTGACTGTTTTTACTCTTGAAAAAGAAACAGATTTTATATAATAATGAAATTCATAAATGTTTCTATGTGTTATGCTTTGATATAATAATCTATTAAAATGTCTACGTGTTTTTACTAATGAGATTATTGTGCAAAGTAATCAGAAATCATGCTTACAGTAAAGCCTAAAGCTTTTAAAAATATATAAATATATAAATAAATATATAAACAAATTTAAATATACACAGATGATGTATTATAAAATGCACGTTTATTCAAAATAATTTTCAATTGATCGATTGGTGATATTCATTCAATTTTATTCTCATACATTCCATTAATTTTTGATAAAAATCTTTATGTACATTCCAATGATGATTTTTGTAAAATACGTTTGGATAGATGTGCAATATTAAAAGCTATAATTTTTTTCGAGTGCAAGATTATTCAGAAATGTCAGTTGATATTAAAAAAAAAAATATCAAAATGATGCAAGACATCGAATCATGTATAGCTTCATGAAGCTACTATTTTTTAGCTAAATCATCATCATGATTAATTGCTTTTAAGCCCAGAAAAAATTCTCTAGATACAGTAACTACGTTAAAAATAAGACTGTCATTGTTTATTTCTCTTGTAGCTTTTCGATATTATTCCAATAAAGGTACAATCGCTATTCGAAAGTACGAGTTGATGATTTCATAAAAATACTACTAGAACTTAGGGCATGCGTGTGAATGTGGAGTGAAGAGTATAGTTTTCGGGTATTAAATCGTGTTATAAAATTAAGAATATTCTTTTTTATTTGATTTTTGATTGTTCTATCATTTATAGTAAAACGTAGAGTCATTAATTACGACCTGTTTCTAATATTATCGTTTTCTTGGCTTGTTTTTATTTATAGTGGGTGGATCAAAACGCTGAGGAGGTAATCACAATGACAGATTACTCGGATTTTAATGGATTAAGTCGTTAATTAATTTTTTATTATCATTACTTATTTTTATTCATATATCTATTGCTAAAAGTCACTGGTCATGTTTTATTTCTCTGATTTTCTTTAGGTTAAAAAGGGCTTTCGGCACGCATGTGGATACATTGATTGATTATCTTTTAATTTAATTTTTTTCTTCAGCGTTGATTACTAATTAATTTCATCATTCATATATATAATAACAACACTTCATATTTTCATGATCGTTAGGAAACTTATGGTATTTTTTCTTGTCATCAAACACATTGAAAAATCGATTTTTTGACTTTATACTTATTATTTAAGAATTAATTTACTTTTTCAATTACTTCAGCAATAAAATTAATTAATTATAACCTTCATAATTTTTTCGACTCATAAACTTAATCAGGCGTTACACGCATCCGTAGTTAATCATATCACAATGACTCTGAATGAATGTGTGCCTGTTGGTCATCATATGAAATTCTCGGTGGCCTTGGTATACATCCACTGCATTGACAAAACCAGATTTGTCGAGTTTCCAGTTGTAACAATTTGTCATAAATATTAGAATGATTTTTGCTTTTGAGAAAATAAAAAACCATCGAGAATCGTGATACAGGCACACATTTTATCGAGTCATTTTAAACAGCTTAATTATAGCGCTTTTATACAGAAAAATGATTAAATATTTAATCGGGTTTTTTAACAAATTCTGGTTTTGTCTGCAGTGGGTCTCTGATGGATCGCCAACTCATAGCAGCACACCAGTAAGGATTGATAGTGCCCTCCAATTTGTACCGAAAAACACAAATCCAAAGGAGTTCAAGCAATTACAGCAGCAGGTATGTATTTTTACCCTTAATTTAATTATACTTGATAATTCATCTTATTATCATTTACTATTGTAATTAATTTAATATACACCTAAGAGACAAATAAATGAATCTTTTTCAAACATTTAATTTTGATAGATAAAAGATTACCGCCGGTCAGAAAAAATTTCAGCAGGACCACAATCACACATTCTGGAAGGTGTGTCTTGGGAAGAAGCTAAAAAGATGCAGGTAAAATAATTAAACATTTTTCAAAAATACCTAGCCAAGGTACTTGGTACATAATTATGATAATAATATTATTTTCTATATCGATATAGGACGCAACAATAAGTGGCACTGGGGAACAAGTAGTTTTGGTTGGCGCCGCCAGTAAAGGCATTATCCAACGTGGATTCCAACACAATGCGATGGTGTATAAAACTCCTTATGCCAAAAATCCTTTCGACGCTGTCACGGATCAAGAACTCGATCAATATAAAAAAGAAGTCGAGCGTAAAACTAAAGGAGATTTATGTAAATCTTATTATCAAGAAATATCATTCACAAAATGATTTAAATATCTGGTATTGATTGTTTTTATTATTAATTAATTTCACAGATGACGAATCTCAATCTGAATCAGAAGCATTATCGTCATTTAATATTAGTCGAGCAACACATGAATCTAGCACTGCCAAAAGTCCTATCCAGTCACCCATTTCTGTGACATCAGAAACCGAAGAAGAAAGCCGAGATGGTAATATTCATTTTCTATCAATCAAAATAAATTTAGCGAATATTTATAAATATAAATTATTTTATTTTAGAACCTCGTGTACTGCGGATAGAAAAGAAACACGTGCCTGTTCCAAGTCAAGCAGAAGTTGTTCTAAGTGATGGTATATTTTCCAACCTTATTAATTTATTACCTAAATTATTTAACTTCACACGTATTTATCGGGAAAAAATATTTAAATATACGACAAACAGATTTATACACTCTACAATAAATTATAGACATTTATTAATGCATGCTTTTTATATCCATCCATCATTATGCATGAATTAGGAAAGATGCATGTGCATGATAATGTTAGAACAGCAAATTCAAATATTGCTGTTACGGTGACGGCGCCTCCTTCATCTGCTCAACAGCCCTTAATTCAGAAAAAAACTGATTCAGCTTTATTAACTAACCATCACAAGATTGGAGGTAAGAGTGTTAGGTCGAGTCAAAAATAATTTTTAAACGTCGTACTGTTTATTTATCTTTTTTTTTTAAATATTCAAAATTTAAAGTTATATTTCAAAATTAATATTTGCATGCACTTTTATTTTTAATTTGTAGTGGATGCAACGACAGAATTTTTGAATGAAATGAGACGCAATGCTATTGATTCAAGGAATAATCGTAAGCAAGGTAAATTGATTGCTATTTATTTCATTAATGAGAAATCAATACTAAATTTGATTAAATATTATCACAACTGCATGCTCCAAATGTAAATAGAAAAATCCACCGCTTTATTTTCATTTAAATATTTATTTTATCATCAATCTGCTAATAAACATCAATTCTATCATCAACTTATCACTAAACGCTCGCACTTTGCTTGGATAAATGCTTGATGTCAGCTTCATATTTAGTCAATTTTGCTTCTTCTTTTTTTCTTAATACCTTAAAGAATTTTTCTTTTGTTATTAAATAAAATTAACTTGAATTAGTACTGATGGTGCGAGCGGTTAGTAAAGCAAAAAGCCATCAGTGTGTGAAGATTTTATAACAAAATATAGAGCGGTCGCTTTAGGAGTGTTTGGACAATGTGCTTTTCCAGATGAGTCGGGCGATGACAGCAGCGAGTTCAAGATGCAAGAATATGCTTGGTGGCGCGTGAAAACCTACGAAGAAACACGTCTAGAGGTGGCTAAAACGGGCACTACTGCAGTGCCAATGACCCCTATTCGTTTAAACATACCTTTCAAAAAGTATCAAATTAATAATCGTAATGAATTTTCATCTAAACTACCATTGAGCCCGCGAATGTTGAAAAGACAGTACTTTTTCGATCAATATGATAAAATTTATAATGCTTATAGAAACGGAAGTCATGATAGTCTTAATCTAATTCTTAAAATGCCTATTCGCAAGTATTCTAATATATTTATTAAAGAACCAAATAATAATAATAACAACATTGATAATAGATTTGCATCAAATAATGGAACAGTTAAGCACCTTATTGCAAAGTATTCTTTTATTGATACGAAAGAATGCAAACAGTCTTTAAAAAACCGAAAAAGAAATCATGTGTCTTCTACTTTAAGTCCAAATTATCCTAAATTATCTTTGTCTAAAATTCCACGACTGGCACTTTCTCATGCTAGAAAATTAGAAGATTTAGAAAGTCCTCGTTTAGTAGAAGCAGCTATGAATAACAAGAATTTGCATAAAAATAACAGACAGAAAAATATTTTAGATAATGAATATTTTTTAACACAGAAAACTATAAAGATTGAGAATAAAATATTGCCGATAGAAGAAACTACTGAAATAATAAATACAGAAGACATTAATGGTAATGTTAATGATAATAGAGAGACAACAGAAAGTTTTGACAAGACAATTAAAGTTGAAGCTCATGATAAAAATGGAAATTCTGTAACTCCATTGGATGATACTCAAGTAAATCAAGAATTAATTGATACAAAAGTTATAGAAACTACTGGATCTCCAGAAAAAGATCAAAGTTCTGCTGAAGATATAATAAGTCAACAAACTGTTGTTGAAAGAGGAGCAATAGAAAAAGAGCTGGCCTCTGGTAAAGATTTTATAGAAGTAGTCCCACCGATTGAAGATGATGAAAAATGGTTAAATGAGCTAGCAGATGAAATGGAAGATTCATTTTATCGAGAAATAAATGAAAACCAACCATGGAGATATTCATCACCGATTAGTAAACATTATCAAAGAGAAGACAGTATGACTGAAGTAATCAATAGTATAAATGTAAACTTGACTCCTACTAAATCATTATCGACTTACAATTTTCATCTTCCAGATACTGGTGTATCAATAAAATACAATCTGAACTCCACTTCCATGAGTACAATTTATCGTTTAACTCCAACAGGTATAGACGATGATGATGATGATACAAATAAAGAGCATATTACTTGTGGTAAAGAATGTCCACAATGTTTAATTCTAGATGATCCAGTTGAATTGGAAAATCTTTCGCCTGACGATGTACGTGATGAACTATCTCCTTTCAAATGGGATGAACCTTTTGTAAATAGATTAAACAAAAATCCCAAAGGAGTGATAGATTTGAATAAAACAATAGATCTCTTTGATAATTCTATTGAAATGGATACCGACAGTCATGAAGAAACTGAAGAAAGTGTGTGTATTAAAGACGAACCTTGTTCCCTTGAGGAATCAGATTTATTGGAACTACCGCACTCAACAGTAGCCGAATTAAAAGAATCTGATGAGGCCACTTTCCATGAAGACATCACAACGTCTGTGAATGAAATAATTGCAGGTCTTGGGGAACGTGAAGCTTTGCTTAAAGCTGCTGATATTGTTGATGATGTTATCTCTGTAGCTTGTTCGAATTTAGAAGAAGAATCTTCTCAAGCTTGTAATGTTGAAATCAAACAAGAAAATCAAGAAGAAAAAGAAGAGATTTGTGAAATTATTCATAAAATTACTCAACAGCCAGTTGAGAAGTTCAATAACTCTAATGATGAAGGAAAAAGAAAAAAGTTTATTGTTGTTGATGAATTAATACACCATGTTATTGACAAAAACTCTTCTCAAGAAAGTAATTCAACTTCAGAGTCTTCTACTACAGAAAGTTTTAATATCAAAAAAGTTAAAGAAAGTGTAAATACAGAACTGAAAGAAATGCAAAGTAATCTCAGTGACAATAGAAATATAGAAACATCTGTAGAGGGAGATTTAAATGATCAAGAAATGTCAGATGTTGATGGAGGTGATACAGAAAAATTAATTAATGACATAAAACAAATTATTGATGATATTGACTCTAATACTCCAAATGAAGCAGTGATAAGAGACGAATTTCTCAGTATTGTTGATTATTTAGATGATCAGCAACTTTGCTCTGATCAATCTGACGTCTATCAAAATCAATTGAAGCTTATTATAAAGCAGTCAATTGAAAATTCGAATGATGAATCAAATGCTAACTTGCAATATTCGTTTGATTCTTTGAATTCTAATCATTCACCTGAAAACATGATATTGGCAAATTATTCTGAAGCTGTTCAACAGTTTAAGGAACAATGTGAAAGAATTTTAAATAATCAATCAGATAAGAGTGAAGATTCTAGTGATACTATATTGAATTCCAATGACCAAAATCCTAGTCATACGGAAATGAGTGAATTTTCACCGACAGAAGTCAATGTATCTTTAGACAAAGAGGCCATTGAAGAGCATGAATTAACTGATACTATTTCAATGACAGATAATGACACCAAGTCTGATAATAGCAAAGAGAAAGTTAAACTTTCTATGAGAAGAATAAATTTTTGTTTAATTGAGTATGAAGGCAAACAAGATAAAAGTAAGAAATCTGAAGAAGATTCAGAAGATACAATAAGTGATGTTGTAGAAAAAGATATTACTCAAATGTGGGATAATAATGAAGCAGAAATAGAACGTAGCTGCAATGAAATTCGTTCCAACGATGTGGACGGGTCATTTATAGAATATGAAGCAGTAGATGATGTAATAAGTAATAATAATATAAAAATGGCTTGTGATTCTTTGACCTCAAATGAGCATATTTCATTATTCTCAAAAATTAATACTGAAACTAAACCTACATTATCTGCAATTACTGAAGAAGCTGAATGTATTGAAGAGGAAAATGAGAAGGAAGAAATAATAGATAGAAATAAATTCATGCTGCCTGCTATTGAGGAAGCTGATGAAATAACAGAAAAAGAAGATAATATTTTTATTCCACCGAACTTAGAAGATACAATGCCAGTAGAAGATACAGAAGATGAAGAGAATGAACAAGAAGCTGATGATATAGCAAAAGAGGTAGAAAAAACTGAGCTAGTCCATACAGAGACTGTGATTGAAGGTGACAAATGTGAAGAAAGTTCTAATAAACCCCAAGAAGATGAACACTGCCGAGATGTTCAAATGTCAGAATATTTTAATGATGAACTTAATGAACCAATCCAACAGAGTTCATCTACGGAACAAGAGAACTTGAGTAATGAAAGTAGCATGATTTTTGAAGAAACAGAAAGTCAAGCTATAGCTAGTCTGCTGCAGATTTTAATAGAAGAAGAAACACCAAAGATAATTGAAAATGTTGATGATTCCGTACTTATTATAGAACCAGATCTACTTGAAGTAAAAACAATTGAAGTAGTAGATATAGATTCAGACAAAGATGAATCAATAGCTATGTCATCAATGACTACGAATTTTTATTCTTGCCATGACACTAGTGTATCCATGCAAGCTAACCAAAGTAATGAGATGAATTGTATAAGTGCTGAAGAAGATGATTTAGAGTCTAAATACTCAACAGGAGTAAATAGCGAAGATACTTATACATTAAGTGATTATAATTCAGAAACAGAACGAGATATTACATATAGTGCTGATATTTCGTCTAATTTAAGAAAGTCTGATTCTTTTTCAACCTGTGATTTGAATCCTTGTGATACTACTGTTAATATGGGAGATGTTTCTTCAGCCTATGAGAGTGTCGATAAGCCTAAGAATTCAGAGGAACCTGAATTAAAAAAATGTTCTGTTTGTACGAAATATTTTAAAGCTTATAAAGAAATATATGATAGAAGTAGCATGAATTACGAAGTACAAAAAAAAATTGAATATAATGAACTGTCATATGCAAGTCTTGATGGAAATCCATCTGATGAAGTATGCAGTACTTGTATTATGACTTATTCAATGGAAACACGTGATTTTATTAGATTAGAACGAAATGTAATTGGTGAAGAATTACATTATGAAAAACTTAAAGTATCACCGTTAAAAACTCCACCAAAATATGAAGATACTACTCTATGTCAAATTGTTGCCAAAATAAGTTTGACTGATTCTTTAAGTAGTAGTAATAATAATAGTTTAAATTCTGTTGTAAACGTCGAAAAATAGAAAAAATCGTTTAGACATAGTTGCGTTTTGTTTTACAAATAATGAAACAATTTTTTATTTTAAGTTTAACATTTTTCTTCTTTATTATTGAATGTTTATGAAAATGATTAAAATAATTTTATGTTAAAATAATTATAATAGCTTAACGCATTGAGCTTAATGTCTTTAATATTTTTACTTCATTGCTGGGCAAGATTAATATTTAATTAATTAAATAATAAATAACTTGGATATTAGGAAATCTAAGCAATTTTAATTAACATTTCTTGTGTAAAATCACTCTTTGTATTTTCTATAGTAATAAAACAATTTCCTGTTTATTTCTTTTTCACCATCATTTTATTATATTTCATGGATATGAAAGAAATAATCTCATGCAAGCTCTTTCATACCAAATGACAAGCATTTATGTTTGCCTACATTATTGCAACTTTTCACATTAGCACGCACGAACCTTTGATTCGCAAAAAAAATACTTGAACATCACCAAGCTAACAAATTTCATCTTGAGGTAAGGTATTTTTCCACTATTTTCCCACACTTACAACGCAAATATTTTTTTTCCTTTTTTTCACTGAAAGTAAATAATAATCATGTAATAAAGTTTTTTACAAGTCGCTTGGATTTATAAAAATAAAAACTAACGTCTTTTTTGTGTTATAGGGGAAAATACAGTTAATGGAGATCATTCAGATGCACATCACAGTACATTTTCTCACAGCAGCAAGGAGGTTTGTTTTATTTCAGATTTATCTATTATTTATTTATACTTTTTTCAATTTATTTACTAATTCATAGCACACACTTCATCTCTCACTGGTTCTCAAGACTCTCTTCATACTATTTACTAATCATTTTTAGTATATTTTATTGGAAGAGATATCTTCTGTCTATTAGCCAAACAAAAATTGATAATTATTTATTGGTAAAAAATTATATTAAAATCCAGTGATTTTTAAAGACTTTAGACTCAATAAAACCTGACCAGAGTATTTTCCATCTAAAAAACTAGGGATATCATGGTATCAACGAGTGTTGAATGAGGAAAGTCTCCAACTATAATTGATCATCATCTTCATCCACGTATTTCATTGTCATTACCATTCATTTATCTACTTTAAATCATTTCATATAACATAAAATACTGAAATAATTTTTAAACTTTTATCATAGAGCTAGATATTTTTGATTTTAACTTGGAAAGAACGATTTATTTAGTGCCACTGGCTAAATAAAGCTGCTTGCATGAATTATTATTATCATAAATTCATTTCAATTTAAAAACAAAAAATTAAAGTGGATAGATTGCATGTGCATGAGGGTTTATGTTTATGGTTGGGACCTTCCATGTTAAGGGTTCCATGTCGCAGGACGTGAGCGTTAGCGAGGAATCACCCAAGAAGGAGAAGAAGAAGAAGAAGGGTTTGAGAACGCCATCCTTCCTTAAAAAGAAGAAAGAGAAGAAGAAGCCTGTCGAGGCGTAGGTAGTTCTTACTAGGGTACGTATTTTTTTTTATTATTAACCTTTCAGTTTGATCGTAAATAATAATTAATTTGTAACAAATATAATTATAAAAAAATATTTGCGCTCTTTAAGTTGCATTTAGAGCCAATTGCATAGGATTTATTAGAAGCTCTTTAGTAGAAATTTTTTTTAATCATTAATTAATAAATTTATTAAAAGTGATAAGATTGGAGTTCAATTTAAAGACATTTATAATAATTAATTTAAATAAGTTAAAAATTGTTACTAATTTTTTTTTTTATATTTTTCCAGACACTGCCACAAAAAAAAGCTTACCATAAGTAAAAATTGACTCAATATTTAAGTATGATGAATAAAAACACGAAAACGAAGAAGATAAGGAACATAAAAATAAAATAAATAAAAAAAAAAACAACCGCCTGTAACAACCGAGCAACAATCACAGCATCTTTCCAGGACTCAAGACTGCCATCACATTACATCTATGATAGGAAACTATATTGTATTGTTAATGTTTTTACGTTTTTAATTTGTTAATCATCGCATGATGTATTTAAGAAAAAGATTGAAATCATAGCTGTCCCATTCCCAAATTAAATTCTCATACGCACGAGAATAGTAATGGAATTTCTGAATCATGATAGGGAGTGGGCAAGCCAATAATAATAATAATACTATTAAATAATGATAAATAAATAAAGCATAAGTAAGATGGAATGAAAAATCAAGACATGTTATATCACTGTCGTCAATAAATCAGTATGATGAATTCATGTACAATATAAAAATGTATTAATTTTTTAAACAATTCATTGTTATTTTGAGCCCTTTTGATTCTTATATTTATTTGTATTTTTATTGACGATAGAGATTAATGAAATAACTTTGGAATGGGCAATTTATAAATAAATAAAATGAAGTATAAATAATGAAAAAAAAAAAAATTAACTTGAATTATAAAATTTAATCTGAAAAACTTATTGAAAAATTATGCAATTTTTGCAGCAATCTGTTATAATCGTAATAATCGGTACTAAAATAAAAAATGAAGAGGATTAATTAATTAACAATTAAAAAAAGCCGCGTTTGGCTTTAAGCTGGTACAAATAATAATCAAGTTTAAAATGTAAAAGTGAGATTTGAAAGGTGATTTTATCGGAAATTTTATTATACATTAGGGAATGACAAAAGTTCAGATACTCTTTTAATCTTAATCTAGCTTTCGTATATACAAACAAATATAATAAAATTCTAATTCGTTAATTATAAATATTTTTACGTCAAAAATAAAAAAAAGAAGAATATTCTTCATTAATACTTTTAATAAATGGCCTAGCTTTCTTGCACTCGCGCGCTTTGCATCGAAAATTTAAGAAGAAAAAGAGAATTATTGGTGTGGCGTCGCGATTAATTATATGTGAAAAAAAAGTGTGTGTTGCTTCTTCATTGTTCATTTATTAACAAATTTTTCCTTTTGTTTATAAAGAGTATTGTTTTTTTAACGTGTCGTTTATAAAGCGACTGGAACACAATGAGAAGATTGCAACGTTAATGGTGCCGATGCATCAATTGAAACAATTACACAAAGTGGAGAAAAGATGTATGAAAAGTATTAAAAATAGTTTAGAGAAATGAAAAATGTAGAAATATACAACTTGCATGTGATGATGGACAGTCTAACATAAATTTTAATCCTGAAATAATTATCTCGGTCTAAAGATAACATTAAACTTAATAAAAAAAGATATGTTTCATTGATAAAATAATTACCTTTGTCTTCTAATGAATTACATTCTAATTATTTGATAATAAACTGAACCAAGTAGTTTTTATATATCTTGAGCTAATTAATTTCATCATAATGAGTGCTCGGATAATTGATAATTTTTATTCTAATTCTAACTAATTAATTTTTACTCGGCACCAATCGTTGTGGATATTAATTGTATTATGAATGACTAGAGCGTAAAGTGAAAAGAAATATGAAAAAATAATTGTGTGATGTAACTCCCGAGAAAGTGCGAGTTTATCTTTTCTTTGTACAAAGTATGAGAAATAAATACATTTTTTCGTCAATTTATTGTTAGAATAATAAAAAGATAATAAATGAAAATAAATAATTATGGAGGAGATATTGTGAATTGAGTAGATCTACTCTACTCTTCTTGTTGCACGCTTGTACACGATTAATTATCATTATTACGAAATGATTAAATTAAAATAATGAAGAAAAATAAATAAAACAGAAAATACTATGGAAAAAAAAAAAATTAAGAAAATTTACACAATCATTGAATAATACGCTCGCGGCACATACTCGGTGACGAGGCACACAGAATAATTATTGTACTATTGAACGATGATGATGATGATTGCAAGCTACTATTGTAATAGTTAATATATATACATATATATTATAACAATATTAAATATATAACAAAGTAATTTTAGTTACGGCCATGATTTTACATTACTTATTGTGCTTCACACATTTTAATATTCTGAAATAATTTTTTTTTCACTTTCAACAATTGTATATATCTGTACTGTTTAATCAACTGATTAAGATTTTCGACAATTTTCAAAAATGAAATCTTAAAAATCTTTGAAACCGTGATAATTATTTGGTTCTTCTTATTATATTTTACCCTAAATATGTAGTAGTTAGCACAAAAAATCTTTTTCAAGTGCACTTATGTTTTCTTTTAAATTGATCAACGAGTATGTGGCAATTAAGTTTTAATTATATTAAAAAATACTTCATTAATTAATTAGTAAACGAAAAATTGTTATGAAATCTACCTTGAGTTTTATGTAAAAATAATGAAGAAATTGAGAAGAACTTGAATAAAATGATTTTAATTTAATTGTACAAGATTCATTTTTATCCTTCAAAAACGCATTATTAATTATTAAAATACTTATTAATTAACTGAGGAAATTAGGAAAGGAATAAATAATGAATAAAATCCATAGAAATTCAATTCATGTCATGTATTTTCCATCGAGTAAAAAAATTACTTTGATTTCCTGAGTTTTAAAGATTAAAGAAGCAAATCAAGGAATGTTGATAGCAGCTGTGTTTGAAGTAAAAAAACGTGTGCTCGATGGTTCATTAACGCTGGAGTTTTTAATATTCTTCAGCGCCTTCACCCTCGCCTTCTGCTGAGTCCATTCCGACTTCTTCGTAGTCTTTCTCGAGAGCAGCAAGATCTTCACGAGCCTCTGAGAATTCTCCTTCCTCCATACCTTCACCGACATACCAGTGAACGAATGCACGTTTGGCGTACATAAGATCGAATTTGTGGTCGAGACGTGCCCAAGCTTCAGCGATGGCGGTGGTGTTAGATAACATGCAGACTGCACGTTGAACCTTGGCAAGATCTCCGCCAGGTACTACAGTGGGTGGTTGGTAGTTGATGCCAACTTTGAATCCAGTAGGACACCAGTCAACGAATTGGATAGTTCGTTTGGTCTTGATGGTAGCAATGGCGGCATTAACATCTTTAGGAACGACATCACCTCTGTACAACATACAACAGGCCATGTATTTTCCGTGACGTGGATCACATTTCACCATCTGGTTGGCTGGCTCGAAGCAGGCGTTGGTAATCTCAGCGACCGAAAGTTGTTCATGGTAAGCCTTTTCAGCTGAGATGACAGGTGCGTAGGTGACGAGGGGGAAGTGAATTCTTGGGTAGGGCACCAAGTTGGTCTGGAACTCGGTGAGATCGACGTTGAGTGCGCCGTCGAAACGCAATGAGGCTGTGATTGATGATACAATTTGACCTATAAGCCTGTTAAGGTTTGTGTAGGTTGGTCTTTCAATGTCGAGGTTTCTGCGGCAAATGTCATAAATAGCTTCGTTGTCAACCATAAAAGCACAATCTGAGTGTTCCAAGGTTGTGTGAGTTGTCAAAATAGAGTTGTAGGGTTCGACAACGGCAGTAGAGACTTGTGGAGCTGGGTAAATGGCGAATTCAAGCTTGGATTTCTTTCCGTAGTCTACTGAGAGACGTTCCATAAGGAGAGATGTGAAACCAGATCCGGTACCACCACCAAAAGAGTGGAAGATAAGGAATCCTTGGAGACCAGTACATTGATCTGCGAGTTTACGGATTCTGTCAAGTACTAAATCAACAATTTCTTTGCCGATTGTGTAGTGTCCACGAGCGTAGTTGTTGGCAGCGTCTTCTTTACCAGTGATAAGCTGCTCTGGATGGAAAAGCTGGCGATAAGTGCCACTTCGAACCTCGTCTGAAATTATTCATAATAAATGTTAAAATCCTGAATAATTAAATTTAAGTAAGAAATTGATTTTGATTATAAAAAATTTTTCGTAGACATACCGACTACTGTAGGCTCCAAATCAATGAAGACAGCTCGTGGTACATGTTTTCCTGCACCAGTTTCACTGAAGAAGGTGTTAAAACTATCATCACCACCTCCGATGGTTTTGTCAGATGGCATCTGACCGTCAGGTTGAATGCCATGTTCCAAGCAGTAAAGTTCCCAGCAGGCGTTTCCAATCTGGACTCCAGCCTGTCCAACGTGGATTGAGATACACTCACGCTAAAAAAGATTAAAAAGTTTAAAATTATTATTCACTCATAAAACACAAGTCATAAAAAAGCTATTCCGATTGTTATAAACTAATCAATAGATGTATGAATCATCGTTTATATGTATAGGACCGGCCGGCGTTTAACCGTTACAAAATGGCGTTCAACTATCACGAAACAACGCGATGCAATTTCACTCAATTTATCACAATATTTCAGTAAATTTTATTACAATATAATCGAAATATAGTCAATAGAGATATTTACTTACCATTTTGAAGTTTTTTAAGTTTTTTTTCGTAGAAAAAGACGGAAGATTAGATAGTTAGCGGAAGCAGGCAATGGAGCTTCTGCAAACAACTGTATAACCGTTTGTCGTACGACTACTCCGCGCTAGCTGATCGTCGCCCTTTTATAGCTTCGGTTGAGCGTTATTCAGAGAATCGTTGATTCGTCAACCGCACCCAGCTTTCGTGCTCTGATTGGCTCGTTTTCGACCGCAGTACCTACGAACGTCTGTTATTAACGGTTACTACGCTTAAAAAATATTACCCATCATTCATTCAATCAATCAATTATTTTTATCAAGCATGAATATATCTATTAATAACAATAAATAATAAAAAAAAAAATAATAGCTATAATGAGATATTAATAGTTATTATTAATTATGACGAAATTTTTTGATAATTAATTTTCATTTTCAAATGGAATTTGACATGGTCGGTTATTTCCTATTTAGGACAGAATATTTTCTCTTCTGTCACTGCAGCAGGAGGTTGAGTTTACCAAATTAAGATTTTTATTCCGTCCTTATATGATGTTATGTTAATTTGAAACATGACGTTCATCAATCAGGAAATCATCATCAACATCTAGAAACTTGTAGCCTATTTTACATCTAAAATTTTAAATCAATATAGCTTGTGGTGTGTCATGCACCAACACGTTTACTTTGTCCTGGAATCTAAAAATGGTTACAATTTTTTTATTCCCTGTATGTGGGAGAGTTTATATTTTTAGATAAATAAAATGATATTTCGTAGCTTGGAATTTAATTATCAAAAGTTACTGCAACAGAAAATGAAAACAAAATTAAATTAATTGGAAAAACTCTGAAGAAATATTTTGGACTTGAAAACATAAAATTCTTGGTGTAATTGGGAAAAGCGGTCAATGACTGAGAAAATATTTATATAAAACAGAAAATTATTAGAACATGATACGACAGTTGGCGAATTGGAAGGCTGAAATTCGCATGTTACTTCCTTCCTGACAAAAATCAATAGTATTTGATTACTCGTATCCTGAAGACTGTAAAATTTGGACAATAATATTCAGCTCTTTCTAAGGTCATCTTTTAATGAGATATAAATATCAAATGATTATAATGCCAGATAAATATTAAAATTCATGAATAATTTACTTTATAAATAGTTGTTTAATTATTTGTTGATGATTTTTTATTGAAATAATTTTGACCCATCAGAAAAACAAATGAAAATATTCTCCTTGTGGTCTAAATTTCAGGTATTATGTCATGGTCAAGTTCCGTAAGGAAATATAACATTACATTTGTAATTTAAATAAAAGATGACTTCATATATACAATTTAAAAAAAAAAAGAAATTTATAAAAAATTATTTCAAATTAGTATGAATGTGGTATAGATGTTTATTGAGTCGAAGATACTATAGATTTCCCACAATGCACTCGATCACGTTCATGCAACATAACCTCTTCATTCAGGTTATGTTTTACAGTGTTTCAGACAGAAGCCAGTTGATGATAATATAAACACGTGTTAATTATCATGGATTCAGATATTGAAATTGAAGGAGAAAACATTGAACAAGACAAAATAAAACATTTTCACGAATTTGGATTGGATGATAGAATTTTAAAGGTAAGTTTGTAATTATTTTTATGTAACTAATACAAGAATAATTTGTTTACCATTTCTGTAGGCAATAGCGAAGCTTGGATGGATAGAACCTACTGTCATACAAGAATCAACAATTCCATTACTAATTGAAGGCAAAGATGTATTAATAAGAGCACGAACAGGATCAGGAAAAACAGCAGCTTTCGCTATTCCACTGATTCAAAAAATTCTCTCTACTAAATCCCAACAAAGTCATCAAGAAACTAAAGCTCTTATCTTGGCTCCAAGCAAAGAATTATGCAAACAAATTTATCAGGTTTTTATTGATTTAACAATTAAATGTTCTAGAGAAGTCAGAAGTGTTGACGTCAGTCCTCAAGCTGATTTGAACACACAGAAGCCTTTGTTAGCTGAAAAGCCAGATATTGTCATTGGTACTCCAAGTCGTGTCTTACAGCATTTAAAAGCAGGAAATATTAAACTGAAAAAAAGTTTAGAGACTCTAATCATCGATGAAGCTGATTTAATGTTTTCATTTGGTTATGAAGAAGACGTGAAAGCGGTTTTAGGATATCTTCCAACTGTTTATCAAGCAGCTTTAGCATCAGCAACTCTTTCTGAAGATGTTCTATCATTAAAGAAATTAGTGCTTCATAATCCTGCCGTTTTAAAACTTGAAGAACCTCCACTAGCTCCTCCATCACAATTAGCTCATTACAGTCTAGCTGCCGAAGAGAATAATAAAGCCGCTATTTTATACGCACTTTTAAAATTACATCTTATTCGAGGGAAGAGTATAATATTTGTCAATACTGTGGATAGGTGTTATAAATTGAAATTATTTTTAGAACAATTTGGAATTCCTACTTGTGTATTAAATTCGGAATTACCAGCATCATCAAGATGTCGAGCAGTTACGCAATTTAATGTTGGAACTTACGATATTATAATTGCATCTGATGAAAAAGCTTTGGAAGAGCCTCATTTAATTAAAGACAAGAAGACTAAACGCAAGAAAGATAAGGAATCTGGAGTTGCCCGTGGAATTGATTTTCAGTATGTATCAAATGTTATTAATTTTGATTTTCCATTAGATGTTAATTCTTATATTCATCGAGTTGGAAGAACTGCAAGAGGAAAAAATCAAGGAACTGCTCTGAGTTTTGTTTCTGTCAGAGAAAGACCATTGTTAGACGAAGTGGAAAATCAATTAAAAGATAGTTATGGTCGTGAACACTTATTTAAAACTTACCAGTTTAAGTTGGAAGAAGTAGAAGGGTTCAGGTATCGAGCTAGAGATGCTTGGAAAGCAGTAACAAGGATTGCAGTCAGAGAAGCGAGATTAAAAGAAATTAAACAAGAAGTATTGAACTGCAATAAACTGAAGAGCTACTTTGAAGATAACCCAAGAGATTTGCAATCTCTAAGACAGGATAAAGCATTACACACTGTCAAAATTCAACCACATCTAAGAGATGTTCCTGACTATATTGTCCCACCATCATTGAAAAGATTAATAGGTCTTGGGAAAAGAAAAAGAAAATTCAATCGTGAAATTTCAACATCTGGTGCTACTGCTACTAAATCCAAACATGACGCCAGAGCCTCTAATCCTTTAATTAGTCTTAGTATACCAAACAAAAAGAAAAAATAAATAGATTATTATTAGAGAATGAATGTGTTAATTTTTATATTTTTAAGTATAAAAAATACAAATTAAGATAGAAAAATTAATTACTGTGAATTTGTTGATTTGTTTCTAGTGCTAAACTTATCTCTAATACCATCATTATATCCTTCTCGATTTCTAGCTATTTCTATGGCTAGAAATTGAATTCTTGTTGTCAGCATACTGTTGGCTTCAGAATAATCTCCTGTACAATCTATTCGGAGTAAAGTTCCCATGCTGTAGTTTTCTACAATGTTTTTGAAGTGCTCACAAAAAGGTCGCCATTGACTCTTTCCTTCCGGTGATTTCATTTCATCTTCATTTATTATTGCTACTGATAAATTAGGAAATTGTTCTCTAAATGCTTTATATATTTGATCGTCATGGGGAGAAATTTTTAAAATTCTAGGATCCACTGAACATAAAATCTGTTGAATATTAATTAATTTAGTTATGTATAATACATTAGCTGTTATTCTGTATATTTAATACTTACATTGAAATAAATTTCAGCATGCTCGCCAGCTTTCATTGCCCACAATGCTTCGATAGTTTGCTAAATAAATCAAATTGGTTCTATTGAACTGTTTAATGACTGATAAGGATCTAATTATAGTCAAATGTACTCACGTCATTTTCAAATTCTTCTGCCGGTCTTGATAAAAGACTGGACCCTGCTATCAATTGATCACCTGTCTATGAAAAATGATAAAATAATACTTAATTATTTGATCAAAAAAATATTCCATGATAAGAATTTTATTATAATCTCAATCATCTGCATGATGATTAATATAATTATTTGTTAGAAGACTTACTATTTTGCCAAGTGGATCCATTATAATAACTAGTGAGAATAATATTTACAATTTTTGGAGTAAGTTTCATGCACGTGGATGACAATGAAAGTGCATGTTTTACAATATAGGGGGTAGCACCTACCAGGTCTGATGAAATACATGTTTTTAGAACGTCAGTGAAGTTTACATTTGTTTTCAAATGCATGGAAAACTTTCTTTTAATAGTTAGAAATAAAATTCTATTTAAACATTTTCAACGAATGTTTATTTTGAAAAATAGCTGATAAAGTATATAACAGTTATGGGTGAGGAGAGTGCAAATAATATTCATCAGAGTGCTTTAAAGTTAGTCAAAGACATACATTATGGGTAAGTAAAAAATTTTTATAACCTAAAAATAACCTAAATATTATATAAAATTGAATTAATTAAAATTTTTTTTATACATTAAACTCTTTACATTTTTTTCATATTATTTTTATTGTAGGAAGCTCACGGGTACTTATAATATTGTCGTGGCAACGATTCGAATACTGAAAGAAATAATTAGTACAACAGAATGGGATACGGCAAAGTAAATGATAGATTTAATTGATAATTAATAAGATAGAAATTTTAAAATGACTCATAAATGTATACCTAATTGATAATTAATTTTTTTTACTTTCTAAGACAACTTATGGAATTGATAGTATTAAATGGGAAATATATTGTCAACGCCATTCCTCTAGAGGCATCAATTGGTAATATGGTTAGAAGAATACTTCAAATAATTAGAGAAGAGTATACATCAGAATTGAAAAATAAACCTGAAGATGTAGATGCTCAAGAGTCACTTCATAAAATTATTACTTCTGGGAAGGACCAAGATATTGACTTTAATCTCTCTGTACCTTCTTTAAAAGAAGCTTTAATTGAGCATATCGATGAGTTTGAAGTTGAATTAGAAACATGGTAATTTTCTTATTACGTAAGCTATTAAGTAGATTTATACTCTTAATAACCAGAGATTAATTTATTTCTAGCTCGGAAAACATTACACAACAAGCATCAGAACATATTCACTCAAATGAAATTATCATGACACTTGGGAGATCTAAAATGGTTGAAGAATTTTTCAAGAAGGCTGCAGAAACGAGAACATTCGAAGTAATTGTAGCTGAAGGAGGTCCATTTTTAGGGGTACTTTGATTTTTATTTTTGTTATTTTATTATTATTGAAAGATATTTCAACAAAACTATTTTAAGGGACATGAGATGGCATCAAATCTAGCAAAACATAAAATAAAAACAACTTTAATATCAGATGTTGCTATTTTTGCTATGATGTCTCGAGTAAATAAAGTAATAATTGGTACCCATACTGTGATGGCAAATGGAGGATTAAGAGCTCTTACTGGATCTAGAACAGTTGCGCAGGCTGCTGAACATTATTCCGTTCCGGTGATGGTTTTATTGCCTCCATATAAACTCTCACCCTTATATCTCTGTTCTTATGAACAGAATGCTTTTAATAAACACATTGCACCCGTTCAAGGAGTTATTGATGGTGCCAACGCAGCTCTTTTGGAGAGAATTCAAACTCATAATCCTGTTTTTGATTATGTGCCTCCTGAATTAGTTGATTTATTTATTACAAATACGTAAGTCATCTTTTAGTTAAAAGAATTTTTCTAAGAATCATAAATAAAATAATTAAATTAAAAATAAATATTTTACATTTTCAGTGGCGGCAATGCACCTTCTTATATTTATCGATTCCTGACTGAACTTTATCATCCGGATGATTATGAATTGTAATAAAACATCCAGGAATTTATGAAATTGACAAAAAGAAAATTGTAATTTATCAGACTTGTAAAATTTGTTTATTTTTAAGAATTAAAAAATTTTTTTAATCCATAAAGTTAAGAAAGATCACATTGAGTTTTCATTTAATACTAAACATATGGATTCCAATTACTACCATCTTCTGGTTGTAAAGAATTTGTTACAAGTAGAATAATATCAACAATCCACCAAACTCCTAGACCTCCTAAAGTTAATAATTTCCCTACGGCAGTGCCTGTTTGTCCAAGACAAAATCGGTCCATACCCAAAAATCCTAATAATATACTGTACAATAACGTTAATGTAAAGTAATGCCCGCTATATTTAATACAAGGTACACCATCACGGAAAAATGTTCTAGGACCATAACACTCGATATCTGGCAAAACGATGCAGGTGACTTTAGCTTTCTCTACGTCTTCATATCGAGCACCACCAAACTGAAAGTTCGAAAATTATAATCAGTATATATTTATTTATTTAGTAATTGAATTTGTTTTTTTTAACAATTATTACTTTAACACATCCAAATCCAGCTTCATCTTTAGCGGTTTTATTTCCTTTGTGATCAAAAGGCTCTTCACATTCAATAAAATCAATTGGCCTGAAATAATATTACAATTCAAGTTTTTTTGCTTGTAAATTTGATTTATTTATTAATAAATAATTATTTAAATAAAAGAAGCTTACAGAAATTTGCATTTAACTAATGGACCTTCTGGACGATATTCCTGTTGTTCGTTGGTCTTATTAGATGCAGTCAAAATTAATGATTCAGAAGAAAGTAGAAGACTGCTAATTGTTAAATACACTAATATTCTTTTCATTTTTTTATTACAAACATTGTTTTAAAATATTCTATTTTTAATTAATAAATTATAGATGTGGATGATAGGTAAAAATATTTATAAATAATTCAATCTACAGGTTATGTTATGATAAGAATTCCATTCACGAATTCCAAGGAATGCTGTATACCACCACCGATGTTTTAGTTATCCATTTTATCTACTCAAGATAATTTAATCTCGTGATTTCTAGTTCACATGAGAATTAGTAGGTGAAGTGTCATCCTGGACTTGCGCTTTTTACATCCTCATGTCTGAGTTAAAAACGCACGAGGTTGATGGTTTTTAATTAATTTGCAAGTAAAAGTTTTTAAAAATATTATTAATTTTATTGTCATAAATCATATTTTTCTTCAAAATGCATTAACAATTGTGATGTAATTAAAATAATTAGAAACACCTTTTTTTTGTTGGTTACTACATTTCATTGTTGGAGAAGATGTATTCATCTAATTTACCTCATTTAGTTCGATTATTTAATCACCAAGTACCTCACTCATCAATTCACAAAACCTGGTTAACAAAAAATAGTAGATTTTACGGTAAATATAAAGGTTACGGTCGTAAAATAAGTATATGGTTCAGTGAACAGAGTTTACAAGTTGCCAAAGCATGTACGAGACAATTTGAATTTATTGCTGCACAACGTGTACGCCGTAGTTTACAATTTTTTCAATTATATGCAAAGATCTTGGATGATATTGCATTCAAGAAATTTATGAGATCATGGAGAAGACGTTTAACAAAGACATTATATACCAGAGAATTTTTTATCAGTGCTGTTGGAGTTACCATGTTCAATTGGGATGAAGAAAGAATAGCAGACGAAGAACTTTACGGGTATTTTATTTTAGATCTATTATTTACTCCTAGCCTATTTACTTCTATTATTACCCTTCATTTACTAAAAATATTTTTTCTAGCTACGCCAAAGAGATTGAAAAGACTCAAGAGCTATGCCGCTCTACTGTCGTTTGTAAAGATTGCAGTTTACGATTAATTATTGATCATAAACAACCTAATGTTGAATACTGCACGTGCCACGGTTCTAAACCAAACGTTGCAGTTGTAAGTGATGGTAAATTGTTTCATTAATCATGGCTTATCTTAGCAATAACAATAATTTATTGTCCAATAACATTATTGAGTCTAATCAATCGGTAAATTATTGCATAGAAACAGAATGGAAACCATTTATCGAACGTCAAGATATGTTAATATGGAGAAAGGAAGATAAAGAAACTGGATTGTATGCTTACAAAGTTTTTGGTACATACGCTGATGTTTCTGCTGAAGAATTTCTCCAAGTTCAAGTGGATATAGACTATAGGAAAGTTTGGGATCCAACTGCTAGAGAACTTGAGATAATTGACACTGACCCTAAATGTGCTTCTGCCAAAGATTATCATAATGATGTTATTTATTGGGAAATGATATGGCCGGTATGATTTATTTTTCTCAAATAATTTCTTAGTGATTGCAGAAATCATGTTTACTAAAAAAACATCTTTTTTAGAGGCTATTCTCCAATCGTGATTATGTGTACAAACGAAAGTGGATTGCAGATAGGGACAATGGAATAGTGGTTATTGCTAATAAGAATACCAATCACCCTAATGCTCCAAATAGACCAGATACATATAGGTATAATAATTCATTCAATAGTTACAAGTGATGTTGGAAAAAAATTAATTGAACCATTTTGAATATTAGGGTAACGTCATATTGGTCTTATACAGTAATAAAAGCTTCAGAAGATTTTAATAAACCAGGTATTCAATTTGTATTGACGTATTTTGAAGATCCTGGAGTTAATATTCCAACAGCTGTGACTACATGGGTTGCTGCAAGTGGTGAGAATGAAATAAAAATGACAAAAGTTTCACGTAAATTTTTTTTTTTATTAATTCTTTATGATTATTCGAAACTAGGACTGCCAGATTTTTTGTGCCGAATGAGACAAGCTGCAAAAGAATATAAAACTTATATTCAGTTACAAGATTCATCAGATCCAATATATGAATCTGAAGAGACGTTTGAAGGTAAGAATATTGATACACCTTCAGGAAATGATGATTCAGGAATAGAAATCAATGAAATGGATAATGGTGATAGCACATCAACAGAAACGATTTTAGATAGTGAAGAAGATAGTGAACAGGAATTAGAAAGTGATATAGAATTAAGTTCTGAACAGACTGCTTTGGATCAACCTGGCTTTTTTAGGTATTATTTTTTAACAAAATTGTTTGCCTGATAATTAGATGTATTTTCGGCGCCTGATTTATATGTAGGCGGCGAAAACAGCTGAAGAGAATGATAGAAATATCAGACAAATGTGCAACCATTATTGCGATATGGTTAGAAAAAAAAAATTTGAAATCTATTCCTCGTGCAAAATTCGATTGTGAAATCATGTTATTTTATATTCTATATCTGTATTTTATACATCATTTATAATGATCCAGTCGCAATCAATTGTCTGTGAAATTTAATTTTTATCGCTACTTTTGAAGACAAAGTAACGGGATTAGATGAATATCATGAATATGAGTCGTTGAATGAGTTCAAAACTTCTGAAGCTGAAGTTTTGATTGATTGTAAATTTTAATTTTAACTAAACTGCAATGTTTCAATTGTATTTATGTTTCTATCAATTGTGTACATAATTATTTAAGTATAGTCTAATAAAGTAATAGAGTTGAGAGTGTAAGATGTTGAGGTAATAGGGCAAATCAATGAATATCAATGAATGTATGATAATAAACTATATTGTTTAATTAAACCTTTGATAAATATCATACTTAGTTGTCAATCGTAACAATAATTGTAGAAAATGTTTATCAAAACATTACAAATTTTTCTTCATGCAAATTTCGTTTCTCACAGAGAATATCAATTTTTACAATAATCAATATATTCTTCTTATATACAATCGTATGAAGATATCTAAGCTGAAGTAATTACAAGATTAATTACAAATATTCTTTGGAAATTATTTAAATAGAATCGTCAAAATCGGGTAGATTTAGAAACATGTCATCATCTTCTTCGTCTAATAAGAAACATATTTCAGGGGGTAAAGGTATTGGATTAGATTTAAAGTTAGCACAATCTTCTTGGTCATGACATTTTTGATAAGCACATTTTTCCTGTAAATCTACAACGTAGAAAATGTGATTGCTTTTATGAGCTCTACCAACATTCGCGCAGAATCTACAAAAGAAAATTACTGAGTTAAGATTTATACATTTTTTGTGAGTTCAAAGTTATAAATTAAATATATTACCTGTTGCCAATAATTTCGTAGATGATTGTTTTGGTTTCGTTAAAGTGTTTAGTAACTCTGATAGTACCCGGATTGACAAGATTTGCTATGAATTTATCAATAGCTGGATAAGGCGATGTTGGTATTTCACGTGCTCCAAAGTAATGAGATCGGGTTGGTGAAGTTTTACAAATATCTGGTATTGCATCTTCACCTAATTCTAGAAGTAATTTTTTTTCAGTTTCTGGATAGTAGGATACTAGAGAATCTAAGAATATTCTCAGCTCTTTATCATGACTTTCTTCAGTAGGTACGTATTTACATTCAGGAGCAACAATCAAGTGGGACATTTTTCCTAACTTGGTAGCTTGATAAATCCTGAAATGTCTATTCCTTGTATACACACCAGTGTCAATAAAAATTTTTTTTCTCTTTCCAGTTTCTATATACAATTCTTCTAAATCTCTCCGATTGAAATAACTCAAAACACTGTCAAATGCAGCACCATTAGTTGCTAAATACTCATCTATTTCCGCACAAATACTTTTGATAAATCGTCCAGCATGAATGTTATTCTTGAAAGCTATATTCTTGAAACGGAATATTATATGCCTGCTGAATTTTACTCGAGTTGTTGAATCCAGGTTGATGACATTTTTTTCATCGCAAGAAATACTCCAATGTTTTTTAAAATATCCAAGAATAATTTTTATTAGAGTTTGAGTCATATGTGGTCCATCTTTACATGGATTTAAGTCAGTCTGAAACTCTAGATCGAGATATAGTGAACATGGATAACCTTCTGGAATAACCTACGATTTTATTTCAATATTAATTATTGATAAATAGAAGTATATTTTATTGTTTATTTTAAATGATTAAAAATAGCATTCTTACCTCATATGCACATCGTCTTTCTGGAGGTTCTTGCCGAAAGTACCACCAATAAACTTCTGGATGAGCAACTATAAATTTTCTGTGACCATGGTCTGGATGTTCATAAACAAATGTACAAAGAGTATCTGTTGGAGTGCTGTGTGAATGAGCATATTCTAGAGCTTCTACTTGTTTATAATGTTCACTCCAGCTTTGAGTTGGGCCCAGTAATCGTTGTGGCATTCGCTGAATATGATCCATTAAATATAAACTTTTACGACGTCTTTGAATAGCTTCTATTTGTTTTTGCACTTCACCATTATTACAGTAGAACTTGGTCACTGGTACTGGAGGAAGACGTAGTTTCATTTGTGACATGTTGATTAGTTTATTTTTTTTTACGTTTTTTAGAATTTTTTTGGTTTTTTTAACAGACCATGAGAGTTCTCCTCTAGAGTATGATCTAATAAATAACCGTGTTTTTTAAAGAACTGCTCGAGAAAATATCATTTATACATTAACAACACTTCAGTACTCCATCGAATCCCGCCAGAAACTGACAGTTGGGTTCGACAAGTTCAAACAGGTACGTTCATGAAGGTTATTGATCTAAATTACTGTATAAATTTAAAGAGGGGGTTTTGTTATTTTTAGATGATATTATAGATTTGATTCTTATCAATGATAGTTGCACAAAAGAATACAATTTTCATTTGTTGGTTAGAAAAAAGCTTAATCCTTTAATCCTAGGTGGCGCTAGTTCCCAATTTTGCATCTGCGCATTAACATTTCCGAGAAATTTTAAACGTTTGTTGATTTGAATTAGCAATGCCAATATTTAAAATGGCGTCTAATTGTAACGTAAGAAAAGTATTCTAGAACATAATCCGAGTTATAAAATAATTCAGAATGATTAAGTCGGATTATTGTAGAAGAAAACAATTCTTGAAATATAATTGCACTTATGAATTATTGTATTTAATCATAACTAGGTTATTTGATAGAATGTACACAAAAAATTTTTATTTTTCCTCCTACAAAGCCAAAATACTAAGGTATTTGATGACGACAAATGACTCGGAGTGCGGAGACTAATTTTCTGATATGATATCAAGATCGATTCGATATAGATTCAACGATATCTAATACCTGCATGCGCGTGGATGTTCATCGAAGGTATGGCCAGTTGATGCGTGACTTGTCTGACGATAAGACGATTCTTGTAAAAAAAAGAATGGTAACAATTACTCAGAATGTTTTTATCAATATTTACGAAAGTACTTAATTATTCAACTACAGATGTTTACTTCCAGTATTGAATTATTTGAAAACATGAATGAACAATTAAAGTGAAAAGACAACAAAGTGTATGAAAATAATTAATCCATGGGTTCAAGATGTGTCTTGCAATTGACTGTGACATGGATAATGATTATACTGATGGATCCAATGATGGTGAGCTCAAGTTGCCGAGAAACAAAGTTACCTAGAGACTGCGAAGCACTTTGTGGCAAAAACCGGTGGGGTTTTGTATCCTGTGAGTTAAGAGCAGCTGTTTTACTTCCTGCAGAAACGATATTCGATATTTCTCTGCCAAAGGTTCTTCCCGTCTTAGGTAAAACTGCTGTTGAATTTTTTTTAGGTTTTATCAATTTTTAAAAAAAACATAAAAACTAGTTAGCAATAACTCAATGACGAAAAAATGCTTTATTTTTTTTTATATATAGATTTGGCAGTTTATCAAGTGAGAGCTATGAAAATCCTTCCGAGTTGGTTAGAACTTAAATTTCTTCCTCAAGATGATCATTGTGATGCTACTTATGCCCAAATAGCGGCTATAGATAGTTATGCAGAGTGTGTTCATTTATTTTTAGGACCGGCGTGCGATTATTGCGTAGGTGAGCTTATTGAAATAAAATAAATTGTTGAGTGGTATTTTTCGCAGTAATTAATTAGAAATAGAAAATAGTTGACTTTTTGATTTTTTATTAGCCAATGTTGGAAGAGTGGCGAAGTTTCTTAATGCACCACTAATTACAACTGGTGGATTTACTTTTGATTTTACTGAGAAGAAGACTGTATGCTCTGATGAATACTTTATGACTACGAGAATTGGCAGTCTGGCTTTTAGAGATATTAGCAGAGTCTTTTTATCCGTTATGGATCGGTAATAATTTTATATATTTAACTTTTTCTTCTAAATCAATTATCAACATCTTTTGTTCAAATTTATTCATAGGTAATTTATTTAATGGACTTTCATTAATTAATATTTTTTATTTGATAGCTATAACTGGACAAAAATTCATTTGGTTTATGATCCAAATGGTCAAAGACAACTTGCTGGGAAACATACGTGTCAGTTAATGATGAAGTCAATGGTTCAATTTATCAAAAAACGTCAGGACATAACTTTTGATAGTTTTGATGTTGAAACCAAGGCTCGAGAAGATTATCGTGAATTATTGGAAACCAACGTGGGAAACTCCTACAGTAGTGAGTGAATGAATCATTATCACATTAATACTTTGAATAATTTATCATTACTGCCCATGAATAATTTAATACGGTTCTTTGATTTCCTTTCCAATCAATGAAAATTTTTTTTGCGAAATGAACACATGATAAAGATGAAAGGTTTATCAGAAAAACTAATGTATAACACATTTTTTTTATCGATGACAATTCTGATGAATTGCTTCATTATGGTTTAATGAACGAGGTATAATATTAGCAAAGATTGAAAGTTTATGCCGCAATAAGGGATGTTTGAAGAAGAACGAAGGTCATGGTTTAGTTGGTTATCAACAACAAACGGTTTCATATTTATAATTGGACAGTATTAACTTTTACATTAATCGACAACATTATCAATGAGCTTCTACAAAATGCCATACTTTGAAGGTGATAGTACAGTTTGCACATTCTTGAGGGAAAGATAGAGAATGAATCATTAACTTAATTAAGTCAAGGTTGATTGTTACTGAAACTTTCATCATGACTATTATTTATATTTAATTATTGAACCAACAACAAACTTTAACTAAATTAAATATATTTCATATAAAAATATTCTCTTAAAAAATTGATTCAGAAATTAATTAATACATTTCATTAGATAATCAATTTTTAATAGAGTATTTTAAGTTTTCATCTTATAATTATCCTCAAGTTATTTTAATCAGATATTTGAGAATATTTTAAATCGATAAGCGATTTAGATAAGTACATTGCAATCATTTGATATCTATTTATAGACAAATTTGTTTACTTTGATTTGAAAGAATTTATTTAGTTATTTACCATCATTTTTGATAGGAACGAAAAGAAAAATATTAATCAATATTTTGTATTAAAAACATAATGAAAATAATGATAATAGGTAATTCGATATTTGAATTTCGTTTGACCAAAGGAACCACTTAATTATTATGAGGCGAAAGTTAATACCCGTATTTTCATCATGTAGTTTACTTTCCTAATTAGTTGCAATCCCTAATCCTCACGAGCGACTACCCTCTTTCGCATAATGAGGGGTTTCCTCCAAATGTATGCTTTTGCTGAGTATATCAGAAGTCCGAAATTCAATACTGGTTAAAAGTGTTTCGTTTACTGACGTGTTATAAGTATTACGTATATATTACATTTAATACGAATCGATAAATAACAGACTTTTATTAAACTCGTTATCACTTCTTATCATTCTCATCTTTTATCATTCAGATGTTTATTTCAAGCTAAATATTTTTGCCTTATTTTTATTTTTATCTATATTTCTTTTTGAATAACTCAAAAATATGCCCTTTTCTTCACTTTCTTTACATCAAAAGATATTAATGACATATGATTTGAAGTTTGATAACAAGATAAGAAAAAAACTGAGTTTACATCTAGTGAAAGTGGATTTGAGAGCTCCTTTCAAGCTTTAAACTCTATCTCCGCAGATTCTCGTTTATTTAATCTCTCACTGTGAATTTTTTTTTTTTTTATAAAAAATTCTTGATCATGGGAATAAAGAAAAAACTTGTGTAGGCAAAGAAAGCTAGGAAAGTTGAGAAATTATTGACGTCATTAAAATAAACTTGATGGTTTTCATTGATATTTTTTTTTTTCGACATCGTTTAATCAAAAATAAAATTAGTAGTGAATCTACATGTAAGAGTTTCATTCTTATTGTATGTCTCTGTATCCAGTATCTTGAATCCATTAAGAAATCTCGTTCTTGTATTCTATTTAGATAAGTAGAATGCTACTTGGTATACAATTTTAAACATATGAGTATATGAGCTTTTATGTTATCATCTAGGGAAAGCACTAGAATGTCTCCCATATGATCTGCACAATAATATAAACTTGAGAAAGATGTCGTACTTAATTTATCTTGGGGATTCGAATAAAGTCCAATTAATTTGAGCTCTAAAACTATTCTACTTTATTATGTGCTTTTTATTTCTTAGACTTGGAATGATTACCTTGATATATTCACGCCATGGAATATTAATTGAGCTTCTGTCCCGGTTTCTCTTCATAATTAGATGATTCTTAGCCGTCAAGACACAGGTTTTATTATATTACTGATCTTCATAAACGTTGATATATTTTAAACATCAATTTTTTGTTAGAAATATGTTCATGAAACGCTGGTCGATTAAGTTAATTTAATTTTAAAAAATTAATTCTTATAACAGTTTCATCTTTAAATAGATTAGTGGAGTACTTTTCTCTAGAAGTATTATCTGAAACTCTATTCAACTTTATGAGCTCAAATTTCATTGTTTTTTAATAGCATCTAAAAAATTTAACGAATTTATTTATTAATATTAATCATAATTTACTATTTTAAGTGCTGCTATTTTAGATCACTTGCTGTTTTAATTCCTATTTCACTGGTATTTCTGATGTAAGTTTTATTCCATCAGGTTTCAATACCATTTGTGTCAGCCGATGAATGTTAATATTTAATGAATCTTAAAATAAACTAACAAACTAGGAATTACAGTTCCGTTTATTTAATTATTGATGTTTTTTTTTAATTCTAGGTTGAAATCAAGATCTAGTTATTCCAGTACTATTCTAAAAAAATTTACACTTTCCCAAATGTGTAGATAGAGTTGAAAAGTGATAGAAAACAAAAGTTTAAGAGCTTTTTTACAACCATATAGAAAGGCATCTAATGTTCTTGGTACCATATTCGAAAGGTGAATGAAGGAAAGCACGTGTGAATGACCGTATAGGCACCGGGTGGACTTAGTCTGGTGGCAAGAGGGTTGATATATCTTTGTTAAAGTGAGTCTGGTTCATAGGTTTTAGATAAAGAGCAAGCAGGAACAAATGATAATAAAGAAAGAAGAGAGAATATGAGCGCGTGCGCGATTTTCTCCCTCTCTTTGATTCTAACACGACGTGCACCTCGTTTTGGCTGGCGTCGAAGTCGCAATAGTGCTTGTGTGAAAGGTGGTGGTCGTAGAGGGTGTATATCTTCCCCCAGTAGAGATGATGTAGTGATAAGAAAAAGCGGGAAAGGATGAATAATTATTACAAAATTTGCTAATTATTCATTTCAATTTCATTGGATTCCTGCAGATTTTAGAATGTGTTGATGTGTGATTTTTCATGTTCAATTGGTTGTGAAAAAATTAATAAGGAAAATTTGTTGGGATTAATTTAGCATTGATCAGCATTTTGAAAAATAGATTCCAATTAGCTAAATGGAAATTAAGATAATTAGCTGATGTACAAAAAATAAAGATTCTGATAAAAAATGATCCTCAATCATCTTGCTAAAGGTACAAGTTCTTATAGAAATTCGTTGAAAAGTAATTGAAGATTTATGAAGTAATCATCAATGATGTTGATAATTTGATAGTTGACTATGAATAAGACAAGTAGATCCATCATAATCTAAATTCATGATCATTGGCGTTATTTCGGGAGTGCAGTTATGTGCTTGCAGGCGCCAAATTACGTTATGAATTCGAAGACTCATATTCGATGCACGTGCACAAGATTTGATGAATTTTCATGAGGTATACATAGACTAAATGGGTTTGTTTAGACAAACAAAATTTCTCCACCTGTTTAAAAGCAATTACTTCCAACAAAGTTTACAAATTTAGAGATATCTATTGTCCTATTTTTTTTCTTATCATAGTAAAAGCTTTGAGGTGTACGACGAACATGCTGAAATTGTTCGTGTCGTGCTACCTTAGCTGGACATTGAATTCCTTTTATCAGTTTCATTCCTTTTATCCTAACATCTGGGGATAATTTTTTATTTAAATCTACATATCCTTCTATTTCTTTCCTTTTCAAGGATAACAAAAAAATCAGGTCTTTTAGATAGCATTTAATTTTTAATTATTGATTGAAGTTTATTATAATATGTGATGGAAATTCATATTGTCATCACTTTTACCTTCGATTAGGAATTTTAATAACGTTCCATTCATCAGGATCATGAGGACTGGAATTTGATTCACACCAAAGGGCTGTTCTTGACAATCAAATTTTTTTCCTTTTTCATATATATTTTATCGTTTTTATCACCATGTTGTCACGTTTCATCATGATCAAGGCTATTAGCATTATTCTACAAATTACTGCTTTCATTTAAAATAAAATGACATAGGGTGAAAAATTTATCTCTAATTTTTTGCTCTTCCACTATTACATTTGCTTTCTTCTAATTTACACTTCATAGATTAATATCTCACCACCCACAGTTAAATCGTATTATTTATAAAACAAAGGAATAACCTTGATTAATAAATAAACATTTTTAGAATGAAATATTTAAACATACCATCTGTTATGTTCTCATTAAGCTTTGGATTTTTTTTTTCTCCATCAAATGAAATTTGATTCTCTTTTTTTGATGTATTAGCTCTACTGTTATTATTTTCATCTTCACAATAATATGATTATTTTATTTAACACATATATTTATTATTAGAAAACTTAAAATTGAAAAACAAGTTTTTTTTATTGATTGAAGAATTTTTTTTCATCAATAACTAGATTATTTTTAGCAAATCAAGCTAAAAGAGAACGACCATTATTTATAAATACTTATTCCTTGAAAAATATGATGAATCTAAAATTACTGGAATTTCATTTCTTTCTGTCGGATGAGCATTTGTTACATGATATCATCTGATTTTTCAAGCTCCCAAGATAGACTTTATTCTTTTCGCTGATCATAAAAAATATTTGTAGGATAAGCTCTTACCTATTTTATATGCCATTTTTCTATTTAAGTTTTCATTGTACTTATCCAAGTTGTTTTTTACAGTCTTCCATCCATGCTCATATTAGTGAAGAGCTGAGTTTGGTCATAAATTTTGGCTTTAATATGCACGTATACTTGTAGGATGTGGTATGAGGAGAAAGCCGACATATAGACGATGTAATTTGCGGTTCAACACGAAATTCACCTCAAATGTATGACATGTAGGTACACATCATACTCAAAAGACAATAGTCATCATCAGTATTAT